GAACTAGACCTCTTATTAGCCAATTACAAATTATCATACTAATATTTGTAAGCTCTTATATAGCTTCTTTGTAACTTATCAATAATATCTCTCGGACATTCTGCTGGAATTGGCAATGTTGATTGATGTTCCATGAGCTCCATGCCGTCATCGCTCCCAGTGGTTAGTATCTCATTGTATTCTTCTTCTTCCCTAGTGGTTAATTTTTCAAAACCAAGATTTCTTCTTTCTGCATTAATCAAATCTCTGAATAATACGGAAATCTCTAGACTGTCCTCCGCTAATGAATGTCTATGATCTCCAATTTAAAATCTTTCCGCGCTAAAAGCACTCTCCGCTAATGAATGTCTATATCTCGGGCCATAATTGAAAGTGTTAGAAAAGTCTTGCCACGCTCTCCCACCACGACAAAAGTTGTTCCTTGCCTTCTTCAGTCTTTAATATTTTCCAATCCTTGATTAAGATAAGAATCAAGTTCATGATCAATAGAGGAATCAAAACCTGTTATATCATCCATATCTTCCCATAAAACTTCTGCTCTAGACTTAGAAGTAGAAGGACCCGTTTCACAATCAGTTGTATCCATAGATTTATATTTATCAAACATTGATCTAGTATAAGAATATATGCTAGCTTGGAAGTTTTCGAGAGATGGTTGTTCATTTTCTTGAATTTCTAAATTCTCATAAATTTTACGAACAAGTCCCTTTGCACCTCTTAGTTTTAAAGATGAGTTAAGTAGAGTAGAAATTAAATAAACTTCGGGAATAGGGAAAAAATACTTTTTAAATTTTAAAATTATTTCTTTAATGGCTGGTGCATAAGTTGGATTTGTTTTTTACTTACCAAATACAACAGAAATTCCACAAATATACCATAATATTTGTGTAACAGTAGGATAATATATACCAAAAAATTATTTTGTAGCATAATAAAAAATTTCTAAAAATTTAGTAAGATCTCTGATCTCATCCCAATCAGAATCAACAATTTGATCAACAGGGTGAGCATTATGCATATTAAATACTTTTTGGATAGGCACTCGATAATCATAAGCAACTTTAAGCATTTCATAAGTAGAATTCCACCTAGTACAAACATCTTTTGGAACTTTTCTAAATGGAAGGTTAGCACTAGCACATTGTTGAGCAAATTCACGAATTCTACTTTGTTTATGAGCACAAAAAATATAGCCACAAGCATGTTGTATTTTATTACAAGCATCAGAAAATAAATTAAGACCATCTTTTACAACCAGGTTAAAAATATGGCATGCACATCTAACATAAAAAATTGTTGGATTAATTGGACAAAGTCTAGATTTTAGGCTATTTGCTGCGGTTGTGTTAGAAGAAGCATTATCTAAGGTGATAGTTAAAACTTTATTAATGAGTCCATAAAAATCAAGTATTTGTAGAACAGTAGTTGCAATATATGCTTCAGTGTGTTTTGAATCAACAAATTTATAACCAATAATACGTTTTTGCAAGTTCCAGTGATGATCAACCCAATGAAATGTAACAATTAAATATTTCACAACCATTAGGACTACGGCCTATATCAGATGTGATAGACACTTTACAATCTAAGTAAAAAATACTCAACGAATATACTGAAGATATTCGGTTTGAAATTTAAAAACATCATTTCTAACCGTGGTCTTAGGAAAACCTTGAAAAGCAGGGTTATAAGTTTCTTGTATATAATGCACAAAAGCAGGGTGAGAAGGGAAAGTAAAAGGTAAGCCACAGACAGCCACCATTTTTGTTAAGTTCTCACGATCTCTATCTTTGTTATATTTGCGTAAAACATGAAGAGAAGTAGGGTCAAGTTGTTGTTGAATTTGATAAGAACCAGATCCACTAGGAGTGTCAGTACTGATGGTAGGATCTATAATTTTTCTGGCTTCTATGTTAGCTTGTATCCATAAAGATTTGTGATCCCTTATTAAGTGTCTACTTAAACCCCCCGTCCCACCACTTGTTGTGTGTGCAAATACTTGCTTACATTTTTCACATATAGCACGATGATTGACTTTATGATGTTTAAAAAATTTCCATACAAGTGATGTTTTGGGACGTTCAGCCTTAGGCTTACCCCTTACAGGGGGTACAAGGGGTAAAGCTCCAGACTGAGATTGACTCTGAGTTGGAGCTTGTGTTGCGGGACTAGTGGGTGTTTCATCTAATTCTTCTTCCTCATTTTCTTCATCCTTATTTTCTTCATCCTCAACAAAAATATCATTGCCAAATTGTCTTTGTAAAGTTTCATGATCTAATTGTTCTCCGACATGAACATCATAAAATGTGGGGGGTTGGGAAAATCAAGTTTCATCAACATGAGTCATTTCATCAATATGCTTTCTAATTCTAGGTCTACGAGAAGGGTTAGGATTAGGATTACTACTACTTTCAACTTTACTATTTTTTTTACTGCTTTTTTTAAAAATACCAAATACATTTTTAGGTGCCATAATTTAAATACGAAATTAAATTAAAAAAGCTAACACAAATATTAATCACACAAATGAAATACGAAAATATAACACGTAAAGTAAACACAAAAA